CAGCCTAGCTTAGTGGTTAAAGAGCCCGGACTCTGGACTCAGGGACTCAGCGATGTGGGCTTGAAACCTGGCTTCTCCTTTCCGCTGTCTCTGTGAATTTGGCCGAGTTCCTCAGCGTCTCTGTCTGTTTCCTCATCTGTAAAATGGGCCTAATAGTACCCACCCCAGGGGACTGTTGGGAGGCATAAGCGTGACAACAGAAGTACGTGAAGCGCGTGGACAGTAAGCGCTGTGTTTGCTAATATCTCATTTTGTGCTTGCCTGACGTTCGGTGGAGATTTTCCTGGTCAGGTTGCAGGGACGAGGAGGCTCAGCCTTCCAAGCCCTAAATGTCTGAGATTCCTCCAAGGGGCATTGCACGCGTGCAGGTGACTGGTGTGGCCACAGACGCCTTTCCAGTGACCACACACTCAGAGTTGCAGGGTGTTATGGACTGAATGTTTGGGTCCACCCCAAATTCATATGTTGACCCTCCAGTGTGATGGTAATTAGGAGGTTACCAATTACCCATCCAGTGTGGTGGTAATTAGGAGGTGGGGACTTTGGGAGGGATTTCGGTCTAGATGACGTCATGAGGGTGGAGCCCCGGTGTCCGAGGAGGAGCTTCTTCTCTCCACCACGCGAAGACACAGTGAGAAGGTGACCATCTGCAAAGCAGGAGGTAGGATCTCACCAGACGCAGAATCTGCCGGCGCCTTGGATGTCCCAGCCCCCAGACTGTGAGAAATAAATGTCTGTTGTTTAAGCTGCCCACTCTATGGCGTTTGTGACGGCAGCCTGAGCAGACCAAGACACAGGGGACTGTGGTCGGAGCCGGGACGCACGTGTGCTTGCTGCAAGGAAGAGAGAGAAATAAAGTGGCACAGGTAGGGACAGTCTGCCACCTGTCTGTCTCTGCCCCCAGAGAGATGGGGAGGACAGCCGCTTCCAGGATAGCCAGCTACCTTTACCCTGATTTTACCGGTAGGGTTGAGGAAATAGAGGGATTCAGAGATGGGAAAGGAGGGAGAAGCGCCCACCCGCCACCCCCAGGGCAACAGGCTGGATCCCAGTGCTGGAGGGGGTGGTGGGTGTGACAGTGGGGGAGGAGAGTCCGAAGCCCTGGGCAGGCACCACACAGGTGGGGTCCACACACATCCCTGCCAAGGGGATGGAAACAACTCTGATGCCTCTGCTTTGAGCGGACTGAAGGGGATGTAGACATTCCCTGCCCCAGGGGTTGTGGGAGAGCTGGTCCACTGGAGGAGGCATGACTTGGATGTCAGGGACCTCAGGGAAAGGTCTGAGGATGATGACAGACCAGTGCGTTCAGGGCCCCGGAGGAAGCTCCAAGCTGTTAGAGGAGAACAAATCGATAAATTGGACGTCATTAAAACTAAGACCATTTGCTCTGAAAAGGGCATCCCTGTTAAGAGAATGAAAAGACAAGCCACAGAATGGGGGAAAATATTTGTCAAACATGTATCTGATAAAAGACTCGTATCCAGAATATACAAAGAGCTCTTAGAACTCAACAAGAAGAAAATAAACAACGCACCTAAAAAATGGGCAAAAGATCTGAAGAGATACCTCACCAAAGAAGATATTCACATGAAAAACACATGAAAAGATACTCCACCGTCCTCGCAGTCACCAGGGCCTTGCAAATTAAAACAACAATGAGATATGATCACTACATACCCATTAGAATAGATAAAATCCAAAAAACCATGACGCCACCAAATGCTGATGAGGATGTGGAGCCACAGGGACTCTGATTCATTCGATAAGAACGAAAAAGTGCACAGCCACTTTGGAAGAGCTTGGCGTTTTTGTTTTTTTTTAACTAAATATACTTATACCATATGATGGAACAATTGTGCTCCTTGGTATTTACTCAAACGAGCTGAAAACATATGTCTGCACAAAAACCAGCACATGAATGTTTATATCAGCTTTATTCATAATTGCCAAAAACTGGTATCAACCAAGATGTCCTCAGTCTGCGAGTGAAGAAGCAAACTGGGGCACATCAATAAAATGGAGTATCATTCAGCAACAAAAAGAAATGAAATGTGAGGGCATGAAAAGACAAGGAGGAACATTAACTACATATTGCTAAGTGGATGAGCCAGTCTGTAAAAGGCTAGTTACTGTATGGTTCCAATTCTATATCCTGAAATATGCTAAGTACAGGGGCAGCAGAAAGAAAGATTGGCTGCCAGACTAGTTAAGAAAGGAATAGTCTCCTTTTCTGGAATATATATTTGCATATCCAGGAAATCCATTTCTTTCACAAATTGTACTTCTGAGAAACTTCTCCATCTCATCCAAATTTCCAATTTATTGGTGAATTTATAATATCCTTTCATTATATTTTGAGTGTACGTAGGATCTGTAGAGATGTCCTTTTTTCCATGCATATTGATCATTTGTTCGCTAGGGCCTTATCCACTAGTACGTTGGTTTTTTAATTCATAGATTTCTGCTCTTACACTTCTTTCTTTTCTTCTACTTTCTTTAGGATTTATACCTTTCTTCTTCTATCTTTTTGAGATGAATATACTCCCTTTGATTTCAGTCATTTGAAATTTGATATTCTAGTTATACTTGAGATAATGTGAATTCTGTATCTGGGCGGTGTTCTATTTTAACGAGATCAAATGTGTTAATTGTGTTGTTCAGATCCTCTATAGCTCTATTATTTTTTGTCTATTTGTTCTATCAGCTACTAAGAGAGGTATAATAAAGTCCTTCATTATGGTTGTGGAGATGTTAATTCTGTCAATTTTTGCTTTACAATTTTAAAGTTATGTTATTGCATGCATACAGATTTATGATTGTGATATGTTTTTGTTGGATTGACTTTTTGATCTTTATAAAATGTCCCCCCCCTTTTTTTTAACGTTCTTGCCTTAAAGTCTTTGTCTGATATTAGCGTAATACCACCAGCTTTTTGGGTCAAGTTTGTATGGTGTTACCCTTTCAATCCTTTTGTTTTCAGGCTTTCTGTGTTCTTAAAGTGTCTCTTGTGAGCAGCATAAAATTTTTTTAAAAAATCACTGAACAATTCTAGATTGAATTTTCCAGCACTTAGAAGATGTCATTTCATTGTCTTTGGTTTCCAATGTTTCTGTTGAGAAGGGAGTTCTCAGTTTAACTGTTGATCTTTTGAAGAGAAACTATATATTTTTTTCCTTTGTCTGTCTTTAAGATTTTTTCATTCTATTTTTCTCCCCCGAGTCTTACAATGAAATGTGTGTGTGTGTGTGTGTGTGTGTGTGTGTGTGTGTGTGTTTAAAAAACTAAACTCCAGACTTTATAGGGATTTCACCAGATTTTTCCATTAATACCCTCTTTGTTTCAGGATCCAATGTAGATAGAGTACCATGTTGCATTTAGTTTTCAGGTTTCCTGTCTCCTTGGTTTTTGAGTTTCTCAGCCCTTCCTTGTTTTTCATGACACTGACTTCCTGGAGGAGTACTAGTCAGATTATCCTATAGAATGCCTCATAATCTGGATCTGTCTGGGATTTTCCTCATGATCAGACTGGGGCTATGGGATTTTGGGAAGACTCTCAGAAGTGAAGTTCTCTTTTCGTGTGATTTTGTTTTTATCCTGTGTGACATTTGCCGAATTTATTCAATCTATGGGTTGATATGCTTCCTTGATTTGGGTCAATTGAATTTTGGCAGAACGGGCACCGTGCCAGTTCCAGGCCCAGGCCCTAGGAGGCATCCTATGTCTCTGCTTACCCCTCTCGTGCACAAAAACAGAAATAGGACAACCCCCAAGAACTGACTGCTGCCGCTGCGTGTGCACTGGTTGATGTTAACGAAGCAACTAGCAGTTACTCATCATGCAGCAAATGGGGGTCAGGAAATACGAGACTGGGGGTCAAGAAATACGAGACTAACCAAGTTTTATTTGAAAATAATATTAAATTCTATTTGTTTATTTTTTGATATCCGTTTAGCATGTAGTAACCTGTTCACACAACAAAAAACTATGAAAGATATACGGCCGGCTGCTCTCTGGAGCGTGGAGCAAGTACAGATGGTGAGGACAGGCTGGGGTTCGGGGGCTCCTGTAAGCCCAGAACCTTTGGAGCCGGGTGAAGCAGAAGGAGGGGACGGAGGGGCTCTGGGCAGGATGCGATCATCTTCCATGGCTACTTTCTCCACCTGTACCATCCAAATCCTGGTCCTCAGCCCTGCCCTCCCCCACTACCACCCTAGCCCACATTTGCTTCCGCTTCCAAACCACTCCAACCTGCCAGCTTTACGTTCTTGGCTCTCATGTCCTGTGACCCATTTCCCCCAGCCAGGCATGAAGCCCCTGGAGGCCAGGCTCTCCCTCGACCCCTCCAGGATCCAGCCCAGATGCCAGAATGGTGCCAGTGAACTTTGGGGCTGGAAGTCTCCATATGCAATGTGCACCAGCCTAAGGCGTGACGTGGGAGCAGGGGTCACGGGGCCCAATCCGGAAGAGAAGTCGGCGAGGGCTTGGGGGCACCCGTGCAACCCTCCGCTTAGCCTTGCCAAGGCCATTCCTCCTTCAGAGGGTAAAACTGACCACTCCTCACTCCCTCAGCCTCGGTTCTGCCTCAAGGGTGAATGAAGAGCATCCCAGAGGCCGTGAGAGTGTCCCAGTGCCGGGCAGGGGGCGGGGGGGGGCCTAGGCGCTTAAGGGTGAGGCCACTCATCTGTACTGAGCACCAGCTATGAGCCAGCCACTGGGCCAGGTGCTTAGCGGACAATTTCTTTTCAACCCCTGAAGGTCTTAGTGCTGAGGATGTGGAGGCTCAGAGAAGCTAATTCACTTCCTTCTGGTCACTGAGCTAGAAGGTAACCAAGCTGTAGAATCAATGCCTGCCCTGTCTCCCAAGGCTCTCAGATCCAGAAAGGGGCTCCTGAGAGAATATGTTCCAGGGGCTGAGAGTAGACAGGTAAAGGATTAGTGCTGTTTTTCAAAAGACCCAGGGAACTTGAGAGACAAGGCGGGGGGGGGGGGGGGGAGGGAGAGGGGGTGGTACTGAAAAGTCTAGGAAGAAATTCCTAGTCTTGTTTCTACCACCTGAGCCCCAGAGTGGAGGGGACTGAGCCCCAGATACAAAGGGCCCCCCCAAGATTTAGACAAACTAAGGTGGGGGTTCCAGCCAAGCATTGGGAGAGGAGGCCTAAACCACACCCCAGAGCACCAGAGCCTCAGATTTTTCTAGAAAGGATCCTAGACCACACCAGCGGCCAGGGCCTCTGGAGGTCAGCTCATCCATCTCTCTCCTCTCCACCGTGAGGAATCTGAGGGGCAGTGTGGCCAGCCGCTCTCTCCCTAATGCCTGTGTCTTTCCTACACACAGCCCTGAGGGCCCAGAAACCACCAATCCCCTGCCCACTGTCCACTGCAAGGCCCATAGCAGGGCCTGATCCAACAGAGGGCCATCTAGTTTCCCAGAGGGAGCGAGACCCTCGAGGCCACCGTGTGGGGAGGGCCTCCCAGGAGGCTGCCTGCCCAGGGCTTCCTGTCCAGGCTGGTGAGGGTCCCACTAGGGCAGAGCTCCACTGAACGTCATGATGGGCAGGCAGAGGAGGGAGCAGAGGTCCGGCGGGGCCTGGGTTGGCGGGTCCGGGGACCTCTGGGGTTGGGGGTGGAGGCTGCTCTTCTCTGGCTTGTAGCAAGGTGAGACCTCACACCTGTGGGGCAGGCGGGAGTAAGGGCAGGCCCCCATCCCTGCAGCTCCTTCCGGGGTTCTAGCACGTGGCACAGAGGCGAGCCCCTTCCCTGGGCCCCCCTTCCTACCGGACCACGCTCTGCAGGATCTTCCTCTCATCCTGGTCCAGGCACACTGCAAAGGGGCAGCTGTTGGAGCCGATGATCTGCACCTTGTCCACCTTGATCTGTGATGTGCTAATCTGGAAGAAAGGCCCCCATCAGTCCTCCCCGATCCCCGGCCCCAGAACTGCCAGCCCTTGGCGGCTCTCTGCCTCAGGCCACCCCAGCAGCCGCCCTGCGGGGCTGACGGCCAGCTCGGGAGAGGGCCCGGCAGCCTCCGTGAGGCCCTGCCTCCTCTCCGGCCTCCACCCTCCCCGGGTCTGGAAGAAACAAGTGCCCCCAGGAGAAGTTCCCACGGCCCCACTGTGAGGCCCCGGTCCCCCACACGGAGCCGTTCTGCGCGCACCCAGGGCTCCCCCGGCTGCCCGCCAGAGCCTTTGCATGCAGACCCATCTGCCCGTAGGGCACCCCGCAGTGTGTGCACCCCAAACCACACCCCCAGCCTACCTCTCCTCCTGCGCCAGGGTCTCCGGAAGGCACCACGGCGGAGAGGGGCACGTCCTTACCTGGTTGAAGCCCTTCTTGGACTTGGGGTTCTGCCTTTTCACCACCTCTGTCAGGTTTAGCGTCAGGGCCTCCATGCTGGAGTCTGAGGGGCAGGGGCGGCTCAGGCCAGGCTCTGAGGGGCGGTGCTGCCCTGTCGCGCCCCCCCCCCCCCGCGCCCCCTCACCTAGCTCCTCCTGCTTCCGGCAGGCCTTGCTGAGATTGACAGAGGTGCACACCTTCTCCATGTTACTCCAGCGGCTTCGTCCACTGATGGCCCCCTGCAAACGCAGCCAGACCCTCTCAGCCGGAGGACTCCGGGGCCCACCAGCCACAGGGAGCTGCCTGCAGTCGGCGCCCCCCGGGAAGCTCTCACCCGCTCGCTTCTGCACCGAGAGCCCTCGGACTCCCCATCCCCTACAGACCTTGAGGACTACCGGGAGGAGGGGGAGGAGCGTTAGGTCGCTGGCCTGGTCCATGGATCTGAGGGCAGGAGAGCTGGGAGCACCCGCGCCCTCTGGTGGGCTCATGGGCGCCCCTCCCACCCTCCGGCCCCCCAGATCCTCCCTTTCCCTTCCGAAGCGGCCCCACCTCCCATGCACCCAGCCAGGCACGCCAGCTCCGTGGACGCTGGGCTCTCCCTCACTGTGCCTCTGGACCCCTCACCCTCAGCCCTGCAGCCAGGCCCTAACACTTCACGGGAGCCGCTGAGCACATCCAGCTGGGGGGAGAGCACACCGGGCGGGGCGGGGGGGGGGGCTTTGCAGGCCAAAGGGGAGAAGGATGTCCACTCCCTCCCCTTCTGTCCAGGGAAGCCTGCTGCAGCCTCCCAGCTGAAAGACTGGGGCCTGGGCACATGGGGGCGCTGACTCTGGGTGAGGATGGGTCAGGAGCGGGCCCCAGAGGGACAGGGGCCCCAGGCAGCAGCCTCACCTTGCTGTAAATAATCTGTAGTGTTAGAGGGACAGCCTCGCGGTCACCATCGATGCCCAGACGCTTGCTGCCAGGACCTGGGCCGCCCGGGACAGACTGTCACTCCCTCTCGTTTCCGGTACCCCTCCCAGACCCCAGGGCCCCCACCTCCCAGGCCCGTCTCCCCCGGGGCTCAGGCAGCACCCACCCGAAGCCTTGATGGCACGTGTGGCGGCAGAGTGACCCAGCTCCAGGGAGTGGATGAAGATCTCTTTCATCTTCTCCCCGGTGATGAAAGTCAGCTGCAGAGGGCAAGGGCTGGCGTCAGTGGGGACCTCCCGGAGGGGGCCCCCCACCCGGGGCTGCTGGCTGCAGGGGTGGGGGGGTGCCCGCAGTGGGGGGGGTCCTTACCTCTGTCTGATAGACCTGCAGCAGCACCGGCCGGGCCGCGAAGCGACAGTAATAGAGGAGCATGTCCGCCAGGATGGGCAGCTGGGCTGAGGAGCCGTCCAGGGGCCGGGATTCTGCCTTCAGAGACTGCTGAGGGTGGGCGCCAGAGCCCGGTCAGAGGCACCGGTGGCCAGCGAGCGAGCGAGCGAGCGAGCAAGGGAACGTGAGGGCAGGAGACACGGACACACACACGTGCGGAGACAGAGGCAGACAGCCAGGCAAGGGGGTGGTGGGATCAAAGCAGGACACAGAATGGTCGGGGGACGACCCACAGCCCAGCCTCCAGAGCCCCCGCACCGGCCACCAGGGCCACCACGGAGGGCCCTGGCCGAGCTGGACAAAGCGAGAGGAAGTGAGGAAGGGGGCTGAAGCCTAAGGTCCCCCGGAGCCTGCTGGGACCCGCCCTGACACTGCCCTCAATTTGGGCTCAGTTGCGCTTCTCACCCCGGTCCTCCCTGGAGGTCTCAAGCTGGATCCCCCGAAACCAGGGCCTCCGAGCAGCACTGTGCGACTGCAGTCAGTGCCCCCCGCCCCCCTTGGGGGCCACTCACCTGGCACAGGACTTCGGGGGGCAGGTGCATGAGGCCCAGCACGTTGCGCTCATACCAGGGGTCGAGCATGCCGAGGTAGTGGGAGATGTCATTGGTGCTCTCCAGCTCCTGGGGCAAGGGGTGAGAGTCATTCCAGCCCCCCGCCCCCGCCCAGGGCCACAGATGGCATCTGCCAGCCCCAACCATAGCTCCTCCCAGCCCCGAGAGAAATCTGCAAATCTTTAGTCTGTGTCACCCAGCAAGGTGCCGCCCCCACGTGCAGGGCAGGAGCTGCTCCCCGGAGCGAGGCTCAAGCGGGAGAAGGCACCCCCCCCTAGAAACGGTGGCTGCTCTTGGCAACTTCTCACCAGCCCCCGTCGGGTCACTGGACCTGCAGGTGCCCACTCTGCGCCCCTACTGCATGTGGCCCGGGGCTGGGGACATACCGCAGGGCTGGGGTGCCTCGGGGAGTCTGTGGGGGGTGGGGGCGTCTGGCTGGCAGGGGGGCGGCAGGCACTGGAGCCGGTCCCCTGGCCTCGCTTCACGGGCACATAGAAGAACTGAAGCTTGAAGAACCGTGTGAGGAGCGGGTGGTTGTTCTCCAGCTGCCTGGTAGAGAAGAAGGCGAGGAGAGGAGAGTGGTCCCTCTCGGACCCTCAGCACCCCCCCGCCCCCCGCCCCGCCCCGGGCAGAGCGAGGCCCCCTGGTCCAGCTCCTACCGCAGATTGCTGTAGGCCCGAGCCACCTTCCCCGAAATCCGATCGGAGCCGAAGACCACGACGCGTAGTGTGGATGCCTTGGGGTCCTCGTCTCCGCTCAGGAAGGGCCGGCGGCGCTGGTGCCTCGAGGCGGGGGCCAGGAGCCAGCTGGGCAGCTGGGCGCTGAGCTTGGGCTGGGGCAGGGAGCGCGAGCGCTGGGCCCGCGCGGGGGGCGGCGGCGGCAGCGGCGGCGGGCCGTCCAGGGGGCTGCAGAGGCTCCCCGCCCGCCGCAGCGGCAGGCCCAAGCCCGAGCCCCCCTCCAGGCCCCGGGAGTCCCTCCGCAGCACCAGCTGGCTGGTGCTCTTGAAGAGTTTATAGATCCTGTTGAACTTCTGCCCGGGCCTGCGGTGGCCCCGGTGCTCCCGGCCGCCCGGCCTCTTGGGCCACTCGGTGGAGCCCTCCTCGCTGTCCTCCACGTAGCCGCTGTCCACGCCGTCCGAGAGGCCCGAGACGAAGGAGGTCAGCAGCTGGCAGGAGAGGGCGGGCCCCGAGGCCTGGGACGAGGCGAGGGACAGGTCGGAGTCGTGGAAGACCGCCGAGCTGGTGGAGAGCAGTGAGTCCCTCTGGGCACAAAGCCCGTGGGTTTCCAAGTCGTCTTCTTCCTCCTCCTCCTCCTCCTCCTCCTCTTCATCGTCCCCCAGGATCCCTGGCTGCAGCAGCTCCTGTTCCTTGAGCAGGATTTCCTGCAGGATGTCTGCAGGGAAGCCAGGGGAGGCACCGTCTGGGCGTTTGGGTCCTTGAAACCCCTCTTGCACGCCCTCGGGAGGGGCGACAGGCTCAGACCGGCCCCGGAGGGAGGAAGAGGGCGGAAGGAGGTGAAGGGCAGCCCAGGACCGGCCCCTGCTCTGCTTGGAGCCTGCCCAGGCGGCAGGGGGGGCAGGACCAGGAAGAAGCCCCCCCCCTCACCCCCCACCCCGGGGGGGGCTGAGGGGTGGGCGCCATGAGGGCCCCAGCTGACTGCTTACCGAAGCTGTCCTGGTTCCAGCTGTACGTGTGACACCTGGCGACAGGGATGGGGATGGTGCGGAGCTGGCCAGGTTTGGCAGTGTCTGCGAGAACAGGGGGACAGGGGGTGAGGGCTGGAAGGGGCTCAAGGAAGAGACCAGCGCTGGCCACACACCTGGACGGGGCCGGGGCCGAGTGGGAAGCCGGCCAGCCTCTTTCCGCCCTCGGGGGTGGTGGAGCACCCAGATGACGAGAGCCTGGGTCCCCCGCGGGCGGTGTGGGGCAGAACCATTGGCCAACTTGGACTGCTCACCACCTGGGGAAAATGCGCCATGCTCTCCCAAGAGCCTCACCTAACACGCCGGGGAAGCCAGCTTTCTCTCCCACCGCCTGCAGCCTGGTCCTGAGCCACTGCCGGGCCTCGGCTGCGTCCCCGATGCCAGAAGCCAGCTCCTGAGCTTCCGCAGTCTCCGTGAAGATGTCTTCGAGCTCGGCCAGGCTCTTGGACTGAAAGCCCAGGAGGAGACGGGCTTGCCCCTCCGAACCAAGGCTCGGCTGCCCGACTTCTCGAGCTCCTAGGGTCTTCCCGATGGCGGCCGTGGCCCATCTCCTCCCCTGCCTTGGCACCCACCACCCCCCACGCCTGGCTGGGGCCTCCCCGGGCCCGTCTTCTCAGGAAGTGGTCACAAGAGAAAGGCCCAGAGCCAGGACACTGCCGAGTTGGGGGAGGGTCCTTCACAGCTCCCCACTATGTCCCAGACAGGGGAGGGGGCTGTCCAGGGCCACACAGCTGACCCGTCACAGAGCTAGGACTAGAAGTCAGGTCTTCCAGCTTCCCTCTACAGCCTGTTCCCAGCCCACCCAGCCCATGCCATCCTCGGAGGCTCGTGTCCAGCCCCCTGCCCAGGCTGCCACCCACCTCCGTCGGGGCCCAGTGTCACCAAAGCCTCTCAGTGTAGCCAGCGCTCCAGCCACTGCCCTGCCACGTCAGCCACGGTGATGCTAAGGCCCCAGGGCCCCAGGCACGTACCTGCAGCCTGCCGTGCAGCCCTGGGAGGTCACAGTGGGCCCCGAAGGTGGCCTGGAAGGCGTGCAGGAGCAGGGTGGTGTAGGCGCTGTGGGGCGAGTGCCCGGGTGTGCTCAGCTTGTTGGCCACAGCGAGGAACTCAGCCTGCACCTCCACTGGGTTCAGCAACAGCACGGTGCTGGGGGCACAGAGGGCAGGCTCTGGGGGGTGTGGACAGCGCAGCCCCTCACATCTGGCCCTGGCGGAGCGGCTAAGCCCCAACCCCCCTGGCGGCTGAGGCCAGGGGAGAGGCAGGGGGCTGGCTCAAGGGCCCCAGGTCCAAGTGCAAAGCTTATGGTCTACTCCTGAGTATTTCTCAGCCAGTGTTTTCAAAGGGCCTTTTGAAAGTGGGGCTTCATTTTTACAAAAAGAATTTCACCTTATTTTTATATCAACATTTTTCCTACAGGTGGTTGGAATGGACAAAGGACTCAAGAGGACTGCCCTCTCAGCGGAGGCGACTTGGAGCTAGGGGCTCATTTTGCAGTGGGGAGGGAGCCGGGCAGCCACACACCTGCATGCAGGCTGGCCTGGAAGTTCAGGCTAGGTGTCAAGGCTGCCTGCGAGTCTGCAGCTCACAAGGGACCCCTTTTCTAACTCCCAGAAGCCATCACCCCAGCTAGCTTGCACGGGGCTGGGAGGGGAGTGTGTGCCCAGCCTCCCCCACCGCCGCCTCTCCTCTCCTGGACCGAGCTCCCTCTCCAGGCCGGCCTTGACGTTCTGTTCATCATGGAAAACTTCAGACACAGACCCAAATGTTCAAAGAATCGTGAACCCCCCAGGGTGTCAATGGCTCAGTTAACAGTTAGCCACACGTGACTGTTCTCACTTCACCCACATCAGCCCTCTGTCGCTGTGTTTTCTCGAAGTGTGTTGGAGACATCACAACATCCCAGCTGTAGAGACTTCGGTTTGAGCTGCTTGCACTGCCCCCCGCCGCCCCCCCACCCCAGGCTCCGTGCAGAGACGCATGGTGAGGGCGGCCCTCCTGTCCTGTCTCTGTGGATGGCTGCCCCGGGTCAGGGCCCCCCCAGATGGGACCGGGCTCTGTCAGAGTCCCCATCCTTTAGGGGGGAACCAAATGTTGATTTCTCTATTTGTCAGAAAAAGGGGACAGGCTTGCACAAGCCGTCCCTGCCTGAGCCACTCTCCTCCACTGAGTACTTGCTCACTCCTTCCACGTACGTGTGCTGAGCTCCACTGTGTGCAGGACGCGACCAGTCAGGCGCATGCCCTCCCCCCGCATGCTTTCTCGGCATGCGTGTTCTCACCTAAAACTCATTTCAGTTCTGTGTGCGTGTGCGTGTGCGCTTGTGCATATATGAACGTAGGCTTTCATATAAAATGCATCGTTTAGGGGTGCTTGGCTGGCTCAGGTGGTGGAGCATGCCGCTCTTGATCTCGGGGTCGTGAGTTCGAGCCCCACAGAACTCGGGCATAGAGATTACGTAAAATAAATAAATAAATAAAAATAAAATCACATGCATTTTTTACTGTAGGTCCTCATCGAAAAAAGGTTGGAAAATGCTATTTCAGTAACAGGCAGAAAGACATCATAGAAAGCATGTGGGCTTTTGAGTAAGACTGAGGCTTAAATCCTGGCTCAGACGCTTACTAGCTGTGTGACCATCATGAAGTAATACTTGGCCTCTCTGACCTCCAGTTTCCCCATCTGAAAAGTGGGGGCAAAGTGAGGTCATGTGTGCCCAGGACTCGGCATGATCAGTGCAGGTGGTTTTCAATGTTTGTTGTTTTAAGTTTCAGAGCCATTTAGAACTCGGAGGAAAACCCCTCAGCCCAGAGAAGCAACCTTACGTACAAAGCATCACCAACTATTCCAAGGCGTTCCTGGTCCTCTCGAAGACTGTGTGTTGGTGGCTGGGGCGGGGGGGTGGGGGGGGGTACAGTGTTGAAGGGAAAACCAGATGCATGGGGCTGGGAGGGGGGACGTGTGGGGATGGGGGAACCCCCCTCAAGAACACTCACACGGTGGAGCTGCGGTGACTTCTAATGGGCAGGCCCTGCTCGGCCCTCACCAGTCGCTGGTAGGTGATTCCTGTTGCCAAAACAAACGAGAGTTGGTAGGTTTATCTGCAACTTTAGCAGTCATGGCCTTGGGCCTCCCAGTGGCCCGGCACCGGCCAGCGAGGCTGCCCCCCCCGGCCCCCCACGATGAGGCTCAGGCCCGGTGCAGCTCTGCTCCCCACAGACGGTGGGTGCAGCACCCGAGGCTTTAGGGTGGCCAGCCTGCGGCTGCCCAGGGGTTCCCTGACCCTCTCTCGGCTCCCCCGAGGGTGTGCGGGCCCCCAGCTCAGTCTCCTCCAGCCCTGTGAGCCTCTGCCCAGCTTCCCACTGGCTCTCGGGGCAGCTCGCCCTCCCTGCTGCTGTCCCTCCCAGGCTGAGCCCTGCCTCTGCCCCGAGTAAAAAAGTTAACCTTATGTCTATTTTGATAGGAAAGTCCCTGAAACTGGCTACCGCTATCGGGACCTGGGACGCCACCTGGTGGCCACTCAAGTGCATGACAGAGGCGAGCTCCCCTCCGCGCCCCTTTCAAGTCCCCCAGGGAAATGCTGTCGTGCAGACTTCGCTTGCTCAGTCTTCTCCTGACCCTCCTGCCTGTGGGATGGCTTCCAGCTCTGCAGAGCCACCAGCTCCGGGGGGGAGTGAAGCGAGACCTTCCCCCGCCCCCCGCTCCTTCACTGCCCTGCCCACGGTCACCCCGACAGGACCAGTCCTGCTCTGCCACACCACTCTTCCTGGTGGGCCACATGCAGCAGAAACTTGTGGGCATCCACCCAACACCCATCTTCCTTCTTTACCAAAGGGACCCTGGGCACAGGGCAATAGGTGACATTTCTCAACCTCCCTTGCAGGGGTTGGGTGGGGCTTCTGGAATACCCTTTCTGCAACCCCCGCTTTCCTACTTCCTGTTAACTGGAATAGGGCCATGATAGCTGGAGCTCCTGCAGCCATTAGACCACGAAGTGGCATCAAGAACGATGTTTCCCGCTAAGGATGGTGGAGCAGAATAAAAGGAAAGAGCTGGTTTAGAACATTAGTGGGAGCCCTGTGCCAACTGTGGACGGCCTTCCCCTGGATTTTTTTTTTTTTTTACTAGAAGGAAAAAAATAAACCCTTATGCGTTTCCACCAGCGTTACACTGGGCAGGTTTCTGTTACGGGCAGCCAGCTTACTTCTGATTCATCGCACCCTGTGATTTCTGGAACAGCGGCTCCCCACCCCTTTCCCTACATCTCCCCCTGTGACTCCGTGATACAAGAAACATGTTATGTGGTCGTAAGGTCCTCTTTCAGTTCCAGGATCCTATCAGGGTCCCACACTGCATGGACTTATTTCTCCTTAGCCTCCTCCACCCGTAACGCTTCCTCAGTCTGTCCCAGTCTTCTGTGATCTTGACCCAAATGTCCTGATTGGTTCCTGTAGAATGTTCCTCGATTTGGGGCGTCTCCTGTCACCCTAGGATTGGCGTGAGGCAAGAATCTTTGACAAGAATGCCAGAGAAGTGATGTTATGTCCCTCCTAACTACTGTTTTTCAATCATAAAAATCCCTTTCACTGATATTGTGCCATCAAATACTCAAATTTTTAAAAGTTTTCTGTTTTTTTTTGTTTTTGTTTTTGTTTTTTTTTTTGGACAGACCACTTTTGGTCAATGATAATTAAGACTTTGAAAGGTAGGGAGTAGATTTCAATTATAATGTTTTCCCCTGCCAGTTGCGTCCCTCACTTTGGGTTCTTATCGAAGTGGGACTTGCAACTGGCATCCGAAATGGCTGTAGTCTATGGGACTGAGCTCTTAACCCGTGGGGTCTGCGTTAACTCTGGGTAGCCAGTGTCAGAACTGAGCCGGGTGTTGGGACACTCAGGTGGTGTCTGGAGAGCTGGAGAATTCGTGGTTGTCCGGGGTTGGGGGGAACCCATGCATTTGGTGTGAGAGCGTTCTATGAGGAAAACCCCTACCTGCTAGTCAATGATGCTTGACTTTCCTTCAATGGATCTACACCTTTTATTCCATAATCAGAGACAAGAAAAGTATGAAATGCAAATGTCTCTGGTCACAAATGTCCCGAGAGAAACTTATGGCCACTGAAAATTATTCAGAATTCACCTGCCACCAGTTGATGGGCCAAAGTGACCGAACCTAGGTTTGTACCTGCTTCAACACAAGGTCGAAGGGTCGAAGGCACCAAGTGAAAGGAAAAGCGGCCGAGATTGCCCAGAGAGGCACGTGCTTACAAAATGGCAGCTGGGACAGCCCCGGGTTTTCCCATCACACACAACTCCCGGCCTATGCCTCCTGGCAGAAAGAGCTTTATGCAAATGTGAGAATAGGTTTCTGGAGTCAAAGGACATGGCTTTTGGAGATCAAGCAGACATAGACTCAAGGGGTAGAGCTCTTGTCAGCTCTATCAGCGTGGCCAAGCTACCTACCTGTCTAGCCTTCAGGTTCATCCTCTGGAAGATGGGACTAAACTATGTACCCAAGGAGGGTGTTCTGAGGACAGAGGAGACCCACCCTTAGCAGCGGTCAATGCATGGGAAGCCCATGGGAGATGCAAACATCAGCATCATCATCACCATCATCACCACAAATTACAGTCCTACTTTTGACAGGGAGGCTCAGAGAGCTTATATAGCCTGCCCAAGGTCATCAGCTAGGAAGTGACAAAGCAGAGGTCATACCAAGGCCCGTGTTCCCTCTCCCACACCTGGCTCCATAGCGTGGGCAAGACACGTTAAACTTCCCTGAGTCTCGGTTTTCCCATGCATGAAATGGGAGGAATATTGCTTTTCCCTCTGCCCAGAGGGGCCGAGGTCTGGGCGGAATGCAATCAGTGTGTGCTTTGGAAACTGTCCTGTGGCTCACGGATGATGCTCACTGTCGCCCCTCACGATTACGGATCTGTTCTTTGCAGGCAAGTATTGTGGTCTACACAGCCGTGCGGGGGGCTTGGAGCAAATACTCAACAGACATGTGAGCTGAACCCGAGAGGGCTGTGGTGGGCGGGAGCTGGCAGCACTGACCTGAGGCTTCCTGCCACCCCCAGATGAGAGGCGGAGGGGGCCACACTACAGGGGTGGAGTCAGGAAGAAGGGGGAGGCCCGAACGCTTGATAACCTGCCCACTTCCTCTGCCCACCCAGCCACATCAAAGCGGGATAAACTGTTTCGCTCGTCGCTATGGCAGCTGGCTCCCTAAGGCTCCACGGGTGGAAGGCCCGCCTCTCCAGGTCCCTTGTCAAGACCTGTGTCTTCGCTACCACTGCCCAATCCACCAGCGACGCGAAACCCATGGAGGCCAGCATTAACCCTCACAGTGCTCTGACAGGGAGGTGTTGCTATGCTAACATTTTACGGATGAGGAAGAAAAGCTCGTATAAGTGAAATAAAGGTCTGCCACCCTACCATGGCCTCATACCAAGTACTGGTAACCACTACGTGATTCAACCTCGGCTTCCCCTCCGAGGGCTCATTCCGTGGCCTCCATTCCAGCCTCCACCCCGTTGCCTCCCTCAGCAGGGAGAACCGGGAATGGGGACACTCTGCAAAGAGGCAAAAACATTCGCCCGTGCGGTAACAAAAGCTCGCTACGGCCCTTTCTAACAAGCCCACTTTGGGATCATGTAGGAAAGGGTAATTTAGCTTAATTTACCAGTCGCCCCTGACGAGGGCTGAGGTTCTGCGGAGTGAGAGGTGAACCGAAGGGTGTGAGGGGATTGAAGGGATTTTTGTTCGGTCGAAAAGCGCACCCCACAGGTTATGGCGTTACCCGCCTCTACGATATTAACTCATTTCGTATCTAATTCTGCAATCTTACTCTGGCTTATCGAGAAACTTCTATCAGGCTCTCATCATCCTTTAAACCAGCTCTGCCATCTCGCGGGTTCCGTCGGTAATGAGCTCAGCGTCTTTGGCGAAGGCTCACTATGCGTTCGTCCGGGTGAGGGTGGGTTTTTTTTTTTAACTGTTTGAAAATGACTGATGTGCGAAAGGGTCCGTGATTTCCTATTTCGGTTCTGCTTTTCCTGGAAGAGGACGAGTTCCTAGCACAGGCAGTCTCTCCACACGGGTGTTGGCCTTCTCCATCACCAGGACATTGGAGGTGTCACAAGGTCCCCCGGGCAATGTCGAGGGGAAGGCGCTCAGCAGCGAGTGACCGGGCTTCCCAGGGTCCTCTGCTCTGAGTCCAAGCACCCTCATCCCATCAACGGCTCCCGTTGTTGCTCTGCCTGGCTCTTGCCCCCCAGGCTTGGAACCCCAACGTCCCAGGGTCAGGCCCTCGCCCTCCACGCTCACTGGGCTGCCCAGAACAGAGTCCCTGCGCAGCTGCCCGCGCCCCAATATCTCAAGGCATAGCGTGCATTCAGCGGAGAAGAGCCCGCTGGTTCTACCTGACACTGGGAGGCGGTCTCCCTGCGTGCAGGTGACAGCTTGCCCCAGCCCTACATCTCCCGCCCCGAACCCATTTCAAAGTAAGAAAGAGTCACTTGGATCTTTGATTAGCCACTGAAGGCCCTGCCAAGGTATCTGCAGTTTGAATCCTTTCTGCCTATACACTACAGAAGGGAAGAAAAGCTTCGCCTTCTTGTTAAAGGAATTCTGGTCACCAGCAAGAAGCCCAGACGCAATGCAGATCCCTTGGTTTGGGGGAGGAGTTGGAAGGAAGGGAATGGAAGAGATTAACCCTGAACTGGCTGGTTCACCTAGCGCGCCTTGCAAAGTTAGACTGGCAAACTGTCTATTCATCACGTGCCTGAGCACCTGTCCTCGCCCAGCACCTTTTCCTCAGGGCCTCCGTGGTTTTTTAAATTCTTGCACCCAGGTCTCTACCATGCGGTGAGATCCCAGGGACGGGTGGGCTTTGGGGCTGGCCAACCCCAACCTGTGCCGGACCCTGCGCCTTTGAAACCGCGGACGGCTGATTGGTTGGGCAGGCAGATCAGCGGATTGGTTGGCAGGAGACGGATAAGCTGATTGGTTGGGAGACGACAGACCCACTGATTGGCTGGGAGGAGACAGCTAGGCCGGCTGTTTGGGGGACACAGCTCAGCTGATTGGCTGGGAGGAGACAAATCAGATGACGGGGGAAGGAAGTCAGGAATCCCTGCAAAGGAATTTACACACACAGCTTCAGTCCTGAGCTCTCTAGGGTTCTAGGAATTGTTGGGGAATAAGATTTGGTACTCCGGTCCTGTGTGTGTTCAATGTGTATGATGAGAACCAAGTGCTGTGGGCACTAAACAGGGTCACCTGTATAAATTTTTAAAAGAGGGGGAAAAAAAAAACCCAAAATGAGATTTATAATATACATAGTATTCTGGGGACCTGCTTCTTCTTTTTTTTTTTTTTTTTAAGGGGACGTTTATTCTTTTTTTTTTTTAAGATTTTATTTATTTAAGAGAGAGAGAGAGAGACAGAGAGAGCAGGAACACAAGCAGGGGGAGTGGGAGAGGGAGAAGCAGGCCTCCCACAGAGCAGGGAGCCCGATGTGGGGCTCGATCCCAGGACCCTGGGATCACGACCCGAGCCGAAGGCAGACGCATAACGACTGAGCCACCCAGGTGCCCTGGAGACCTGCTTCTTAACTCAGCAAGTGACTCGACATCTTTTGCCCTGGGTACCTCTGTATCTTTACCTTTAATGATTGAACAGCTATATAAAAGCTTTAAATTGTATGCTCTCAAATCTGTCGGCCTTATCTTTTTATCATTTTTGCCTGGGGGAGGGGGTGGCTGTTTGTTATCTCTCCTCTAGGTGGTTCACGGAACCTACTTCTCTTCTATTACATTCATGGTCTCGTTTGCCACACTTCAACCTTTAATCTACCTGAAATTTATTTTATGTTTGAGATAGAACTCTTAATTTTTTTTTTGAGATAGAACTGTAACTCAGTTTTAATGGTCTTTCAACGGTCCTGATACCATTTATCAAATGATTGATTTGATTCATCACTGGTTTCAGGATGCCACTTGGTCATATAACAAATCTTTAGATATTTAGCCTGTTTCTAGCCATTCTATGTTGTTGCATTAACTTATCTATTCTTATGCCAACAGCGCACTATTTTGATACCTACAGTCTTATAGTCACAACCTTCAAAGACCTAGTATGGGAAGTACCCCATTCTTCTCTTGTTAAGAATGCATCAATACATACATGATAAATGCATAAGTAAATGCTACTGGAGAGCATTTATTCTTTCAGAGAGACTTTATTTTGGTAAATTTAAAAAGATATGGTTGGTATTTTTTTTTTATCACAGTTGTATTTATTTCTATAACACCTGCTGTTACTACAATATTGATTCAATCTGACAACACATCTCTTAAATTATTTATCCTTAAATTTGTTTCTCTATGTAGGTAATTCAAATATCTTACTTCTTTTATATGTTTAGTTGCTATTATAGATGGTTCCCCCCCCCCCATTACTAGGTTCCCTTACTGGTTAATGCCATTAGCTACCTGTTTACTAGCTCTGTCAGTTCTTTGGGTGATTCTCTTAGTCTTGACAGATAAGCAATTGTTTGATCTCTGCATAATTAAAATGTTATCTTCTCGGGGCGCCTGGGTGGCTCAGTCGTTAAGCGCCTGCCTTCAGCTCAGGTCATGATCCCGGGGTCCTGGGATCGAGCCCCGCATCGGGCTCCCTGCTCTGCAGGGAAGCCTGCTTCTCCCTCTCCCACTCCCCCTGCTTGTGTTCTCTCTCGCGCTGTGTCTCTCTCTGTTAAATAAATAAATAAAATCTTTAAAAAATAATTAAAATGTTATCTTCTCTGGAAGAAGAAATATTCTTTATTTTTGTCTTTTTGCCTAGGCTAAATACCTATAAGCACAAAGAGGAAGGTTACTGACTTAAATGGAAATGCCTCTAGCATTTCACGGTGGGCTGTTAAGAATACTTCCACGTTTTAATAGTATCCATATATTAGAAGGGTTTTGAATATTAGGAATGGATGTTGAATTTTATCAAATGTGTTAAGGGCATCTATCAGGATGTTTATGTGACATTATTCCTTTGAGCTGCTGACATTGATGAATTACTCTCTCAGGCCACCCTGCAGTAAATCTTACCTACTTAGGTTTTCTCTTGCTCTAGAACAGTTTGCTGGGCCCTCCTTTTCGTATTTATTAGAGCACTTGCAATTTTTCAAGAATTCCTCCTTTCCAGACCCCACGTGTGACAACTTGGCCCCAGGCCCTTGTCCACCCCTGTCATGGCGCCCATCAACCTGTCCATTCCTAGCCCCGGTCACTCCCCTGACCAGAACTGAATCGATCCACATATGCATTTCCCCATTTGCTCCTGAAGCAAAGAGGACAAGCAAGGGCCTCTTGTCAGTATTGTGGGGGCCCCTTTGTCTGACCTGGGCAGTCTCGGAGACCCTTTGGCAAACCAGATCGCAGGCACAGACCATGCAGTGGGGTCTCCTTGCCTGGAACCGCTGCTCAGCTTCCCCTAAGAACTCCTCCTTGAGTTACCGCCTGTGTTCATTTCTGTCAGCCATCGGATCCTTTGTGCACCACGAAGGCCCCACGCGCCTGCCACACCAACACTCACCTGGGGCCTTGAGTTCAGCATCAATGAAGGTGAGCAGCTCCTGGTAGATGCTGCAGTAGGGAACAGGCCAGGTCAGGAACCGGTGGTAGGTTCTGGCTGCTTTCAGAAGGAGATCTGAATCGGGTGGGAAGTGTGGCGTCTGGATGGAAAAGGGAGCAGCGAGCAGAGAGGTCTGGGTGAGAGAGAGCTCACTGATATTCCAGAACAGACCCTGCTCCTTTCTGGAATGTGCCACAGAAGGCACTCTGTTCCTGGCAGCAGTTTGTCCCGGGACAAGGTCAGAAAGAACCTGAAGTTACCACTGGGAGTGAGTTACGGATGGGCAAGATGGCACCCGGGGGCCCTTCTACCATAAGGGCCATGTTTTCACCACACATAATACTCGATACGTAAGAGCGCCTCTCTGAAAAGCTGTCACTGGGGAGGTCAGCCTAATGGTGCCGTTGCTGCCCCTCACTTGGGGGAACGGTCTTCAGTGCCTGAACCACCTGTATTTACATATCCCCACGGGAGGCAAAGGTTTATGCTTGGAAGCGGATGCGCTCCCACGTATGTGCGGTCATTTGGTGCCACCGGTCTGGTGAAGACGGGATGCTCACACCGGGTGAACTGACTCCTGGGGTACAGAATGGGGTGGACCGAAAATCTCTCAGCAGGATCTGCGTCACGCCTCGTGAACAGGCCGTGGACAGCAGGCCCTCCACGGGAACCCGGATGTGCCAGGCAGCATGGCGTCCTGCATGGAGTTCTGGAGGTCTCTCACGGGGGCCGCTCGGAAGCCATCAGAGGGCTGACACCCGTTTCAAGGGTCCCGGCTTGTCTCTGGAGGGGTGAGGCCGCCCCTCCCGGGCCCCTCCTGCCTCCCCCTGCTGGCCCGTGCTGGAACTTACGCAGAGGACAGTGGAGTAGAAGAGCAGGGCCAGGGGGGCGAGAAGGTCATAGGTGCCCTTCTCTTGGACCTGTGGACAGCACAGGAGAGGAACATGAGGCTCATCACAGGTGCAGAACAGAGCAGCGCTTTCTCGTTCTGGCCTTTCTTTTCTTTCTTTCTTACGGGGAAAAGTAATGTAATCACTAGGCAAAAATTTGGGAAATACAAGTTAAAAAAAAAAAAAAAAGCACTCACAATATCCCCCCTCCAAAAGCAACCACAGCTGATATCGCAACGATTCTCCTGACACCATTTTTCCTCTACGTATTTTCCTCTGCAAACGTGTAAAGCATAGTGTGTATATTTTTACGCCTCATGCTTCTTACCTATTATTATTATTACAAATGAATTTGTTTTGCTACATCATCTCTAAGCCTGCCTTTTCCCCCTGCTCCTAGTTATGCAGTTCCTTTTTATTTCTGTTATAAATATATATTTTTTAAATTTGTGGTATCTTTTTTTTAAAGATTTTTTTTTTTTTAATTTATCTCAGAGAGAGAGAGAGGAAGAGAAAGCATGAGCAGCAGGGAGAGGGAGAAGTGGGCTCCCTGCTGAGCCAGGAACCCAACATGGGGCCTGATCCCAGGACGTTGGGATCATGACTTGAGCCAAAGGCACATGATTAACCGACTGAGCCACCCAGGCACCCCTGTTGCGTATCTTTTAATTTTATAGATTTCTTTTCCTGAAGTCCCAGTATTAGAAGTGTTCAGTTTTTTTCCCATATAAGTTTTTGCTTTGGCATGCAAACATCATGTAAATATTCATATATCTTTTTTCTTCTTTTCTCTGAAGCTTCATTTTCGTAAATGTAAATCTTTAATCCACTTAGAATTCCATCTGCTGTATGGTATGCACTAGGAAACACACTCTGAATTTTTCCAAATGTTTAGTCAGTTTTCACTAAACCATTTAATAAATCTCACTGATGCAATTTTTTTGTACATTAAAATTTGTTTATGCCGTTGGATAATGCCCATCTTTTTATTACCTGCATAATATTTCCTCTGCTAGACCTCTGTCATTTATTATTAGCTTCATTTTGGACATTTGAGATTATCATCTTCCTGTTTTAAATCTTTCTGCAATGCACATTACTTGTGCACATTACCTTTTTCCATAATTTGGATTACTTCTCTAGGTTCGAGTTCAAGAAGTGGGATCAATGGATCAAAGACTATAAACATATTTCTGATCTTTGAAGCTCATTGCCAAGTTGCTTTCCAGAAGGATGGTGCCAATTTTAATATGCCATACATACAAAAGCACGGGTTTCACTCTACCCTTCCCTGTATTGCTCGTTATAATTTTTTTGCTAATTTGCTAGGCAAAGACTGTCTCATATGGTTTTAATTTGCATCTGTTTTATTATAACTGAGGCAACATTTTTTCCATATTTTTTTCCAAGGTCTATGTATTCTTCGGTGCATCATCTCTTTGACCCACCCGCCACACTACATACGCACGTGATTTAGAATTCTTTGGTCAACATGCTAAAGGTCTCAGCCCCTTCTGGAACTTGTGGGCATTGAAGATGCAGAGAAAGCCCCACCATCTGTGTTGTGCTCCACAGGCTCAAACTGAGAATTCTCCTGTCTTTACCCTGAACAGACCACGTGTCCAATACACCTGCTGCCCCATCCCTTCTACAAACCCTCCCCTATTGTTACAAGGTAGTTGATATCTGCGTTTATAAAGTAAATACCCCAAAGTGGTTTAGCTTTTCTGAATTGGTCTGCTTGTGATCAGGGTCTAACAGCACCAGGTAAATGGTGGGACCCAGAACTGGGACCTTGGGCATCTTGATAAAACAAGACTTTCCAGGGACAGCTGAGACAGTCACATGTCTTCCAACTCAGTCATGTTTTTAAAAAAAGAAAGGGGAAAAAAAAAAAACCACTTAAGAATTCTTTAAACAAGAGCCAGCATCCTCTGTAGGGATTCCCAGCTGTTCTGGAAGGCCAGCCCAGCTGAGCCTCAAACACACCCCTCTTCTTAGTCATAAAAGCCTATTCACTATGGACCTGCTGTTAGGTCTCGGTTTAATCACTTTTCTCTTCTGTGTCTACTTTTATGGATCTTTTCAAGGAAAGGGATTCGGGAGAGCTTCCTCCTTCCTTTCTAGTCAGAAACCTTCAATCCACAAGCACTGCTGGAACAGAAAAGTCAGGGGTTCCCAGTGCCTTTGCCAAGCCCCACGCCGGGCCAAGCACCCCAGAACCAACACTCCATGGGGACCTTTCCCTTGCGTCTTCGGTCCCTGGCTGGCGCTCACCTCTCGGGTTTTCTGCAGGATCTGCTCCAGGAGGATGAGGAAGTGGCCCGGGTCCCTGCTGACCAGCTCCTGTAGGCTCCAGCAGTTGAGACACAGGCCAGCTGGAAAGGCAGAGAGGCGAGTTCAGCTCAGGTTTGGAGAGCAGCGGGAATCCCCGGGGGGATTGCACGGGGGCACTCCTTGCTAAAGTAAGAGTCTGAGAAAACTCTGGATCAACAGTCATCTCTGTCATGTCTCTTCAACAAATGGTGTTGGGAAAATTGGACAGCCACGTGCAGAAGAATGAAACTGGACCATTTCCTTACACCACACACAAAAATAGACTCCAAATGGTTGAAAGACTTAACGTGAGACAGGAGTCCATCAAAATCCTAAAGGAGAACACAGGCAGCAACCTCTTCGACCTCAGCCGCACCAACTTCTTCCTAGAAACATCGCCAAAGGCACGGGAAGCCAGGGCAAAAATGAACTATTGGGATTTCATCAAGATAAAAAGCTTTTGCACAGCAAAAGAAACAGTCCACAAAACCAAAAGACAACCGACAGAATGGGAGAAAATATTTGCAAACGACATATCAGATAAAGGGCTAGTATCCAAAATCTATAAAGAACTTATCAAACTCAACACCCAAAGAACAAATAATCCAATCAAGAAATGGGCAGAAGACATGAACAGACATTTCTCCAAAGAAGACATCCAAATGGCCAACAGGCACATGAAAAAGTGCTCAACATCGCTCGGCATCAGGGAAATCCAAATCAAAACCTCAACGAGATACCACCTCACACCAGTCAGAATGGCTAAAATGAACAAGTCAGGGAACGACAGATGTTGGCAGGGATGTGGAGAAAGGGGAACCCTCCTACACTGTTGGTGGGAATGCAAGCTGGTGCAACCACTCTGGAGAACAGTATGGAGGTTCCTCAAACAGTTGAAAATAGAGCTACCATACGATCCAGCAAAGGCACTACTGGGTATTTACCACAAAGATACAAATGTAGGGACCCGAAGGGGTACGTGCACCCCAATGTTTATAGCAGCAATGTCCACAATAGCCAAACTGTGGAAAGAGCCAAGATGTCCATCGACAGATGAATGGATAAAGAAGATGTGGTATATATACACAATGGAATATTATGCAGCCATCAAAAGGAATGAGATCTTGCCATTTGCAACGACGTGGATGGAACTGGAGGGTGTTATGCTTAGTGAAATAAGTCAATCAGAGAAAGACATGTATCACATGACCTCACTGATATGAGGAATTCTTAATCTCAGGAAACAAACTGAGGGTTACTGGAGTGGTAGGGGGTGGGAGGGATTGGGTGGCTGGGTGATAGACATTGGGGAGGGTATGTGCTACGGTGAGCGCTGTGAATTGTGCAAGACTGTTGAATCACAGATCTGTACTTCTGAAACAAATAATGCAACATATGTTAAGAAAAAAAAGAAGATAGCAGGAGGGGAAGAATGAAGGGGGGCAAATCGCAGGGGGAGAGGAACCATGAGAGATGATGGACTCTGAAAAACAAACTGAGGGTTCTAGAGGGGAGGGGGGTGGGGAGATGGGTTAGCCTGGTGATGGGTATTGAGGAGGGCACGTTCTGCGTGGAGCACTGGGTGTTATGAACAAACAATGAATCATGGAATACTACACCAAAACAAATTATGTAATATATGGTGATTAACATAACAATAAAAAATTAAAAAATAAAAAACAGTCATCTCTGTCATGCCTCATCGAAACAAGTCTCTTAGTCCTGCAAGAGACACAGAGATGGGCCGGGAAGCCACCGTTCTTCCACAGCCTCCCCTGCCCCTGGTTTCCCACGGGGTTGCTGGAACCTGCAAGGTGCAGGGAAGGAGTGCAGAGGCAGAAAGTGCTGAAGGGAGGAGAAGAGCCTCGGCTAACGCCCATCCCCCTTCCCCCATCCCCCCTCCCCCCTCCCGGAAGCAAGAGCAAGTCTCTCCTGGCCGTGGGGCTTCCCAGGACTGCCTGGCACGGGAGCGCAGGGAGGGGGTAAGCTACATCCCTTTATCTTTTGAGAGCCAGAGTGGGCACTTGGTCATTCTGTAACTTCCCCAGACTTCCGGACTGTGTCGGTCTCTGTTTCCCCGCAGTCAGCAAGGGCAAACCCCTAGAAATTAAAGGGGTGGTCATGGGGGCCCGTGTGCGTGTGTGCGCTTGCACGTACTGGAGGTCGGAGCAGTAGGGGCAAGGCGGGAAGGGAACCAGCCGTGAGTTTCATGGAACTTGAGCTCCGCGCGCCTTCAGGTGCACCGGCTCCTTCCAAGGTCGGGGAGACCCTAACAGTATTTTCATGTGGATACAGGGTTTTGTAAAATTGGCCAAAGTCAGATATTTTTGTCTTCTTTTACTTAATGATGCACCCCCCTCCGACTCCATTCTATACGCTTAGGCTCCGTCAAACCCTAGGCAGGAAGCAAACTACCATTTACGGAGCACCTACTGTGTGCCGATAAGGTGCTAGGCTCTTGCATACGCTCTGCCCCACTGAGTCTCCCATCTTCCCTTCAGGAAGTGGCTCCTGTTGTCGCTACTCTCACTTTATGGCCGAGGCAGGTGGGGTTCCTGGGAGGTTAAGTGACTTGTGTGAGGTGATAGCAGCCAGTGAGAGGCAGTTTTAATCTAGATCTGTGTAATCCCAAAGACCAGGGAAAGTCAATCAGAGGAGGTGACACTTGGGCTGAGACCTGGATGAGAAGGAGCCAGCTACATGCTGTTCTGAGAGAAGAGTTCCAGGCAGCAAGTGCAAAGGTCCTGAGGTAGGAGGAACCAGGGAAGGAACCAGGTAAGTTCAAGGAGCAGTGGCTACCTATCTCATGGGATAGTTAGAGAGGCAAGTCAGATATGGGATGCGAACAATCTCAGAAGCATGAGAAATTATTACAAGTAGGCACCAGTCTTCAGAGATGCAATTGCCCCAGCCTGCAGATAAGCCCGTTTCTCAGTCCTGGGAAACAAGGAAGCTTCCCACTCCCTGAAGCTCGGCTGAGATTCTCCCTTGTCCTGCAGGGAAAAAGGAGATGGGGCTCTGGAAGGAACCAGAAACCAACTAAACAGAACTCTGGGGGGAGCCATCTACAAACTCCTAGCTGTTCTTTTGGAGTCAGCAGCTGTGGTTTTTCTAAGCAGGACCGATACCTCTCTTCAAGGAGCTGTGCTTCTGGCACATGCAGAGAAAGCAAGATACAGCCCTGAGGAAGAGGAAGAAGATGTCAGGGGAGGACAGACAGACTGCCACATTCTGACGGGCCACCCTCCATCAGGTGCTGCGCCGAGCACCGGCCCGTGGGAGGTCCCACACACGGGCCTGGAACCAGAACCTGTGGGCTTCTGTAAGCACTCCAGTGCTCACTGTAGCCCCCGGGGCTTTCTTGGGCCCCACCAGCCCCACCCCTGCCCCCCCAGACCTACCTGACCAGGAGGTGGAGCAGCGGCTGAGGCTGAGCCCGTGTAGGCAGCGCTCCAGGGCATGCTGGATGCGGTCCTCCGTGCACGTCGTGGCCCCTGGCTGCATCCTGAGTCATCGCCTGCAAGGGGACAGACACCAGTCAGCCGGGAGAGCCCCAGGCTAGGGGGAGCAAATGGCCTAGCAGAGCGGACAGCAGAGTCCATGGGTGCTCGCAGCCCAGCTCGGTCAGCCCTGCCGTAGCTCTGTTGCCCAGAGCACAGCACGAAGGTGGGGAGCTCACAGTCCCTGCGGCCCAACGGCACAGCGATGCAGGCAGTGAGGGTCAGGGCGGGACGCTGCGAGGTAGACGGGGGCAGTGGCAAGTGTTTTCTGTGTTCCCCCCAGGCCCCGGGGACAGGCAGGGAGAAGGCTGCAGAATCTCAGTTTACTTTTCTGTAAAATGGGCTTAACAAGGTGCCGACCCTGGAGGACCGCCGGGAAGAACGCCACAGTGGATGGGCCCAGGGTGTTCTCGAGACACGAAAGCCATCCTGCCACAGGCTTTGGCACTCTCCCACTTTCCCGCATTCAGCCCTTCCAGGCAGACCCTGTCGCTGGCCCGTCAGGCCAGGCCCTGGAGAGGAGCCAAGGAAGCAGTGGTCCAACTCTGTGGAGCTGGGGACAGACCAGGAAACCACAAGCAGAAGCACGGAGCTCGGAGCTGAGCCATGCAAACGACATGCAAAACTGCAAAATCCAAACAGGGACCCAGCTGCATGACTGGAACCCTCGGCTTGCGGGGGGCCCACGTAGGCAAATCCTCCTACTTCCCTAGCCCGGGAGGAACCACATGCCCGAGGAAACATCAGCTCTCTGTGAGCTGTCCAGCGGTCTCCCACCTCAGTGATGTCCCTGCTGGGCCATGCTTCTTGGCGTCAGACATTAACACTGAACAGATCAATAGACCAAGAAAGAAGTCGTCACAGAAGGTGATGCTGTGAAGACAGATGGTGCTGGGGGCAGGCCAAATGGGGAGCCCACACTAGGTTGTCAGGAAGCCTCCCCAAAGGGACCTTGAAGCTGGACGAGGAATCGAGGACAGAGTGAGGGGAAGAACACTCCAGAAAGAAGAGACAGCATGTGCAAGAGTCTGGGTGCAGGGACGAGCCTGCCAAGGACTGAGACACTGGAACAGAAGGCCAGGTCCCCCACCTCCCGGCTGTTGAGGTGGCAGACTGAACTCAGAAAAACCTCTCACTGGGGATTCAGGACCGTGCATGCTGGGTGTTTCCATGAGCAGCATCCGGCAGCCCAGAGATGTCCCTGGGCCCTTCCAGGGCAACTTTCCCGGTACACCTTTGGGCCTTTTGTCTGTGGACTCCTCCACGGGTAGCCCAGGCAATGAGTCCAATGCCACTGAGCCAGACGGGGCAGATTCCAAGCTTTCCGGTCCCTGCCTCGCCTGCCATGGGTGTGCATCCTGGGAACGGGCCCTTGTGATGAGGCCTCAGCCTTCTGCCTCCAGTGGAGCCCCAATACAAGACTCTCTCCAGCTTAGTCCTACCCAGACTCAGGGCTACCAGGATCCGTTGCAGGAGCTTGAAGCTCAGGCACCTTCAAAAGGATGACTTTGGGGCATGGATGGTTGGCCCAGATGGCATCAACGGATCCTCTGCCCCACAGGCTGATTTCTTCCCGTGAGCCCCAGGGTGGCTTCTTGGAGGGAGCTCAGATGTTGCCCACCCACCCCTGCCTCAAGTCCTTCATTTCACAGTCCTTCATTGTAGGGAGGGGGACAGGTGAGAACTAGCCACAAAAGCTGGACCGCAGCTGTTTTGCTGATACTTGGCCCTGGAGGGCTGGTGGGGGGTGGAGGAGGGGAAGTTAGCGGTAGGAGGCTGATGGGTGGATCACCTTTGGGGAGTCGGATGGAGAGATGGGTCATCTGTGGCACAGAGAAGTTAGACGACTTGCCCAAGGCCACACAGCGAAGAGGTGGCAAAGCCAGGAGAGGAACCCAGGGAGTCTGGTCCTGGCCACTACAGTGCGCTCTCAGTACAGTCAAGATGCCAGTTACCAGAAGAAAAAGAAAACCAATTTGTGTTCATACCCCCCAAAATGGAGACTCAATTAGCTACAACACGATCTTACTTTAAAAGACCTACCTTCCCAGCTGCTAGGGATCTTGAGCCCCCCATGTCGGTCTATACTAGCTGCCCACCCTCCAGGGAGGGAATCAGGACTCACAGAAGCGCACTACTTGCTGAACTGGGCGATCTCTAGCCTGGAGCAAGGGCTGAACCACACCGACTGGCTTTGAAGTTCCCTCCGCCCAGTCCCTGCTGCAAGGGACAACTGGGTTGTGTCACAAGGCAGGGATGAGTCACCCTGCCCTGTTGCGTCCCACTGTGAACACAAAATGCAAATGAACGTTTTCCGCCAACACTGCCTCTGTTGCACCCCTATCCTTAGGGGGTCAGGACACAGTGTCCTGGGGCTTCTGTGAGCAGCCTTCCCAGCACCCCAACGCCTGCTGGCCCACACTCCTTCCCTTCCCCAGGCCCCTGACACTCCCATCTCCTGGGCTCAGTGGCCCCCGCGGTTCACTGAAGACAATCAAGACCTTCTCCGCGGACGGGCCAGGTATCCCCAAGGGCACGGGGCACAGTTCCTGGTGTGCCAGCCCCCCGCCCCCCTGCCCAGCCCCCGGGCATCCTGAGTTTGCCCCAAGCTGCTCTGAGAGGCTGGACTTGCCCAAGGCACTGGGCCCTGGGAGCCAAGGCAGGTAGGAGCCCAGCCAGGGGGATGCTCAGCTGAGCTGCCCTGGGGGTTAACCCAGCGCCCCCTGGCTCAACACCTGGTCCTTTGGCACCCTCATTTCCGTTTGATGAGTCAGTCATCAGCTGTTTCTTGTGACTTGTCAGCAGAACCCTAGTGGCTTTGGGGCGGAGATGAAGAGGGAAGAAGGTAGCACTCCCTCCCTCCCCAAGGACGATGCCTTTTTCTCAAACACTTGGCAGGCAAGGCCCGGCTTCCCTAAGCACCTTCTAAGAGGAGTCTCTATTGTGAAATCCCAGCTGCTGCCTGGAATGGGAATGCCCCTCACCCACCGGTGGGGTTGTGTGGAAACATTCAACAGCCGGGCTTGCCCCCGTCTCCAAGTTCCTCTTCCGAGCCAGTAGGGGTGAGTCCTTACTGGGGACCCTGAGCAGAACAGGGAGGCCTGGAGCTGGGGGGGTGGGGGGGTGGGGCAGGCAGTGACTGCAGAGGGCACAGAGGGAGACCTCCTCTTCACATGTTGACCTGACCACATAATGCAAGACAGGGTCATCTTCCCAAACGTGCGGGACTAGTCGAAGGTCTGCCCGGGTCCGACTGTCCTGGGGCGGCCCCCACATGGCGCTTCTTTCTTGGAGGACTTCTCAAACACTGTGGAATGGCAGGCGTCGAGGGCCTACCTCTCGTGGGGGAGAAGCATGTGCCTCCAGGCTCTGGCTGGCACCCGCACAGCTTCCCTGCTGTTCTGGGACAGTCCAGGCCCATGCTGTGAAGCCTTAGTTCCACAGGTGGGAACCGCAGAGGCACCAAGGCACTGCACTGATCCCGCCTGGGTCGGTCCTGCATCACTCCTCCCTCTGCCCCTGCCTGTGGTCCCCTGCGGTTTGACCTCCCTTCTCTGGCCCCTGCTCTTCTCCATGTGACTGTTCAAGGCAGAATCTCTCCCGCGACCTAATTTTAAAGTTTCTCACCATCAAAGCAGGAAGGATACAACCGAAACTAAAGATACTGGGGTAAGAAAGGGGTGAAAAAGAGGAGGATGAGATGGGGAGGAAGAAAGGCCCCACTTCTTTGGGGCTATTTTTAGGGTATCCCTCTGACTCTTAGAACCAAAGCAAGATCTTTACATACCCCACATTAGAATAACTCAACTGGGATTGCGGGGGGCAGGGGAACAAAAATCCAAACAAAACAAGGGAACCCAACTTCATTATAAATGAGTAACCTAACCGCACTGAAGGGACAGGGGATGAAAGAATTAAACCGAGGAACTTTGGAAAATGGTATTTTGAGCGGATACTGTAAGGCTAAAGACAAAAAGAACTACATAGAAACATTGTTTTCTAGTTATTAAACCTGTTTGCCATAGGGACGTGTGTTTGAAATCCAGAGACTTCTTTACGCGTGTGCTATGACTAAGAAAATAAGTAAATACAGGTAATGGGAGCCAGCTTCTCACTGTTGGAGAAAGACGTTACAAATAAGGAATGTGGGAAATCTAGCATGAACCAACTCTATTGGACTGGAGTTGGAGAAATCAGCATGAACTCGTGTTTCTTTTTTTTAATGTATTTACACAGAGATGCATACAGAAGTGAAAAAGATGTGTGTCTGCTTGCATTAAAATGCATACATATATTTTCTAGCTCTGCTGAGAGAGCCAGGAAATGACATCCCAGTAGCAATGAGCACACCTAGTGCCCAGGTCTTGGTTTCTAAATACCATTCTCCACTCAAAGGAACCAGGGCTCCTTAGGGAAATGGCCGATTCCAAGACCAGGGCAGGAAATATTGAAGATGAACCTGGAACATCTTATAGTGCCAGAAAATAAGTCATTCCTTGAAAAGGGATGGGAATGGCAGAGGATATGGGAGCCAGCTTGAAGGAGCTTCCAGTGGCCAAAGCCAGGACAATTTTAATGACAAAATAAATAATGAAAGTGTTGGATTATAATTTGTAGAATGAAATAAATACCCATGAGTCTACACTTATGTCATAAACAGTTGAAGAAAAGAATAAATGAAGAAGGAACAGATCTTCTTTATGACAGAATACCAATTAATAAATGTGGCCAGAATGAGAAAAATACAAAAATCACCATTAGGCAAACACCACAGTAATAACCGTCCTCAGTATGGATGTTAAAATCTCTGGATGAAATTCTGAGAGCGGACAGGATATTGGCATAGTCTCACAGTATTTCCTCTAAGAAATTAATTGATTACAAGTGAAAAATAATAATCTCACAGTGGAGAAACCCACCACCACCTTAACCTCATGATCCAAGGTAATATTACCAGTAATAAGATATTTCAAGATCCTATCTCCCCTGAAGCATGGAGAGGGACCTAATGTCACTTCTGCGGGATTCTTACCCCCCAAAAAAATGCATAACCACGACTGAATCACGAGAAAACATGCTATAACATAACTGCCCAGTCCTCACCAAAATGTCAAGGTCATAAAAGATAAGGGAAGACTGAGGAACTGCCACAATTGGAGGAAATTGAGGAGACACAATGTGGGCTCCTGGAACTAAAAGGAGACGTTAATGGGGGGAAGATGGCTAAAATCCTAATAAGGCCTACAATTTTGTGAGCAGTATTGACCAACGATCATTTCGTGGTTTTGGTAACTGTACCAAAGTCGCGTGAGTTGTTAACATTAGGGGAAGCTGGGTGGGCGGCCTCCTTAGTTCTAAAACCTTTTCCGTAGCCTTACATATCCCTTGAACATATTTCCAGGTAGTTATTCGATGCCTTGCTGTCCTTCATTACCCTGTTTCAAGTTCCCACTTCACGTGTGGTCACAGTTCCTAGTTACTGGTGGGTGGGCCAATGCAGGGCTAGCTGCCTCCCCCCAACCCAACGTTCCTCAACTACGGTGGAGAATCTCTGGGGCTCTTGGAGGGTCTCTGAGGGCTCTCTGTGAGAATAGTTAAACTGTGTTTTCATTTTGACGGCAATCTAGAAGTCAGTAGTTAGTATATTTTGGAGCACATTGATGACACCTACGACCAAATGTTACCATAAAAAGTCGAAGCCTGGTTTGCATTTGAGACCATCACCTAAAAGGGCAGGGCATGCCAGGTGTGTTCTTGGGGTCTACTAGGGATCAAGGTTGCACACAATGAGTTGATGGAAAATGTTTAGTAAAAGGAGAAACACTTATACCATCTGAGGAGAAACCAGAATGTAAATTAATGAAAAATGTTTTTAAAAAGTGTCTGGCATGTAATAAGCATTCAGTAAATGCTATCTATTAGCTATCAGCGTGGTTTCTTCGCATAAGCAATTCTATGGCCCACTTCCAGATAGCTTTGAGACTGGGCCAAGAAATATAACGCTCCCTGGATGATTCTGCTGCAGTCAGGCTTGAAAAGTAATGTTTTCTATTATTCAAAGACATACAAGTACTAGACTATATTTGACTAGGAAAGCATCCTGGAGGCCAGCTAGTGCAACTTTCCCATTCTACAGATAAGAAAATGAAGGCTCTGAGCAGGGAAGGGCCTTGCTCAGATTAGAAAGCGGCAAATCTATCACTAGACTCCGAGCCTAGGACCAGGGGAGTCATGGCACCCTCTTGCTTTGGTGGGAGTCAACCTCTGCTGTCCATCAGTAAGACCTCGGCTCTCTTCCTCAAGGTTATTTCTAGACTCCTTTTCTAAATTTCTTTTGAAGTTATCATGTAAGTATTCAACTTCTTCACGTGTCAACTTTGTGAATTTAGGTTTTCTGACAACATCATTCATTTTAATCCAGATTCAAAATTTTCCTAGCCAAGATCGGGATCTAGAATTACTATATAATTTTTTTTATTTTATTTATTTGACAGAGAGAGACACAGCGAGAGAGAGAGCACAAGCGGGGGCGGGTGGTGGGCAGCAGAAGGAGAGGAAGAAGCAGGCTTCCTGCTGAGCAGGGAGCCCGATGCAGGACTCGATCCCAGGACCCTGGGATCACGACCTGAGCCGAAGGCAGATGCTTAACAACTGAGCCACCCAGGCGCCCCGGAGAATTTCTACATATATTTATAATTTACTTTTTATTGAAAGTCTAGTAATTTATTTATTTATTTTTAAAGATTTTATTTATTTATTCATGAGAGACAGAGAGAGAGAGAGAGAGGCAGAGGGAGAAGCAGGCTCCCAAGGAGCAGGGAGCCTGATGCAGCACTCGATCCCAGGACCCTGGGATCATGACCTGAGCCAAGGGCAGACGCTTAACCATCTGAGCCACCCAGGTGCCCAGAATTTCTATATTTTTTTAAAAATTGTTTCTGAACCTGTGATTTTAGCCCTTCTCTTAATTGCAATGTTGTAAAATTACATTTTCTGTTAAAATACAGATCTGGATCGGATTGTATTAACTACTTTTACACTACATCACAATTCTTTCCATAATTCTTGTTGACATTCACAGTAAACGTAATAACTGTGAAAATGGCAGTATTTGGTCCGGGCAGAGGCAGCAGCTTTAAGACTGATTTACTTCATTGCTTGCTGGTTTTTTTGTTTGTTTGTTTCTTTGTTTTTAAACTACGCCATCCCTAGTTATGAGTTCTTTATTTTGATTCATGTCTTGCTCAGCTGGAGCATTTCTAGTAGCTTCACAATGAGTGTGTG